GAGCCCAGCAAATGTCCGTGGGCACCTTTTGTGGACGACACTCGCACCTGTGATGCATGCTCGCCAAAAACTCGTTGTATAGCATGAGCTTCAATGCGATCACCTGTTGGTGTGGATGTCGCATGTGCGTTTACATAAGTAATGTCTGTTGATTGCACACCTGCATCAATTATTGCACGTTGCATTGCTAATGCGGCACCAGTACCATCCTCACTGGGCGAAGTAATATGGTGCGCATCACCGGATACTCCATAACCTAGTAATTCAGCCAGTATGGGTGCACCACGTTTGCGAGCATGTTCCAGCTCTTCAAGGACCAGTATAGCTGCACCTTCACCCATCACAAAACCATCTCGTTGTTTATCGAAAGGGCGCGAAGAGCTCAATGGTGTACCGTTATGTGTTGTACTAAGCGCGCGCAATCTACAAAATCCTGCAATGGATAGTGGATCAATGCAGGATTCGCCGCTTCCGGCTAACATTGCATCTGCGTCGCCATTTCGAATGAATCGCAATGCATCCCCAATGGCATGTGCTCCTGTCGCGCAAGCCGTTGACACAGAATGATTCGGACCGCGTAAGCCATGTCGCATGCTTATATGGCCGCATGCCATATTAGGTAACAGACGGGGTACAAAGTAGGGACTTACACGGTTGTAACCGCGTTGCAACTGTTGCCAAGCGCCATACACTTCGGTTAGGTCGAACATGCCCATGCCCACGCATACACCAAATCGTTCTTGTTGTTCCGTTGTGAATTCGCTCGTCTTTAATTTGGCATTGGATAGTGCCTCTTCTGCTGCAATCATTGCTAACTGTGTTGCCCCGCTCATTATTTTCAGATCACTTTTGCTAAAATGATTTTCAATTGGTAGTTGGTCGCGATTAATCTGACCTGCCACTTGGCATGGCAGTCCCTTGAATTTGTCACTTAAGCTTGAAATAGCTGATTCGCCCGCTAGGATGCGGGACCAGGATAAAGGTACATTATTCGCCAAAGGAGAAACTGCTCCAGTTCCAGTAACAACAACACGGCGCCTAGGTGTACCACTGTTGGTGCGGGAGAAATAACGAAGTTCCTTACCCAATTGTGTATGGAATATCCTCCTAGCAACGTACGTCATCCTTCCTTTGGCTACACGCTTCTTGGCTTGTGATTCCTAATCCAGAAATCGTTATCTCTCAATAGCCGGTAAACCCCAGGAACGGTGCTATCAAACTATCAAGTACTATCAAACAGCTGTTTGCTGGGCAGAGATTCCCAAACAAAAGGTGATAAGGTTAAAAATTAGCTTTGTTTGTTAACAGATAATTATCACAAATTTTTACTGGATTTTGCTGGAAAACGTTTCCTAACACAAAAAATTTGCAGAAGAGAGCCAAAAAGAGAGTATGAAAAGCGAGAGAGCTGCAAATTTCTGCTGGCGAAATTTCTGCCAACATAAATTTGCAGTCATATGTATGTTTAAAAACCAGCTGTTCAAAACGCACAAGGAAATAGTTGGCAAATTTATTTTACTTACTTTTAATAAAACAAAATGAGTGCATCGTTTTTGAGTGTAGTTTTTGTTTCTTTACTTTTCCCTCTTTCGATCTCCTTGTGCGTAAAATTCTACTCTTCACCAATTTGCTATTAATAGCTGTATAAAGTTAAGAAACACGCCTATTGGCTCTAAAACTTGTAATCTACAGAACACCCACAACGATAACAGTTTTAAAGCCCCTGAGTCATAATTCGCGTGTATTACTTGTCAGCTGGTATTTTGTAGGAATACGGCAAAACTATCGACGGTTGTTGAATCGAGTAGTTTTATTTAATTAGTATCGATAGTGGTACAAAGGATTAAATCAACTACTCTGCTGTTGTATTTGGATTAAAGAAGAAAACGTTAAAGCAATATTCAAACCACATTCTCTATAAAATTATGGCATATGAAGAAGCGAGAAACAATAAAATAAAATCTGAAATAAAACCGATAGGATCTGTGTGTAATCGATTATCTTGCATCACTATTTTTTAGCCCTTTGACATTTCAGTGGTGATTGTGTAAACGCATTTTTTGTAAATTGCAGTTTGCATTTTTCGATTTTGTTTAAGAGGATTTCACAATTAACCGTCTTATTTGCATTAGTCGATTATGTATGCAGTGTTACGCAGGAGTCGGCTAATAGCCACAGCGAAGCCGAACCAGTATATTGCTCATCGAAATGCCGGTTACATAGTCTTGTGAGTTAACAATTAATAGTGTTTTGGGAAATTACTTTTATGCGTTTACTTAAATTTTAATCAGGGTACCCGAAATCGGAGAAGACACCCACTTATCTGATGGTATATTGCAGCCAGATGGACTGCCAGCATTTAATGATATTACAATTGAGAACTGTTTGGGCGCTATTGGGCAACAAGCAGGTTTGGTTGAGAAAACTGTGAAAACTATCGAAAACGAAATAATAGATCAAAATACGCCTGCACGTAGTTTAAAAAGCATATTCGAAGAACTGGATAAAGTGGCAGGACCTTTAGACACGACATGGGGCATTGCCAAAGCTCTTTACTTGGGCAATAGTACACTGATACCGACTAAATCATACATGAACATCCATGAGCGCGCTCGAATTGCACGAGCTTCTAAATATAATAGTAAAGTATTGCACGATGGACTCGTCCAACGAGCGGAACAAGCCGAAGGTGACGAAGCGCGGTTGTTGCAGCGCTTCTTACTAGAGGGTAAATTAAATGGTCTTACTCAGACGCAGGATAAACGCGAGAGTCTCAAAGACATTCTCGTGCGGTTGGGTAGAGAACGTGCCAGCTTTAAAAACAAAGTAAACATGTCTGTGCACACTTTTGGCCATGCTATAAAGGACTTTAATCTTGTTCGCGACTTTCCTTTGACGCTTTTGGAAGCAATAGCAAAGGATTCCACTTTACCAACACAGGGTCCATGGAAGATTACTTTGCAACCTCAGATCGTCGAAGGATTCCTAAAATACTGCCCAGACCGGACGCAACGATGGAATGTTTGGCAAGCCAATGTACGCAAAGCGTCTGGACAACAAGAGCGTAGTCTAGAGAATAGTACACATTTGGAGATCATCCGATCCTTCCGAAAGCGGCAAGCCAATTTGCTAGGTTTGTAATAAATTGTGTATAAAAAGGCTCTTTCTCTCTCCAAGTTCTTTCATTGCGATTTTTTTGAAACGTTTATTTTTATTGAAGCCCACGACTATTAAATCGGTAAAAGCCTTTTTAATCCACAAGGGGTTTAAAAATAAATTTTAAATAAGTGAGTTGGGCCTTTCAATATTAAGGTAACGATATATAATTAATATATCGAGGGCTTAAATTCAATAACCTCTATCTGCAATTTTCACAAAAACTACTTGTGATATTAGAACCCATCTGGTTCTTATCTGTCATCACTGATGTTAATTCTGACTTTGCAATTTAATAGTAAATTCTTCTGTCAAGCGTTATACAAGGTCAGCATTAATATCACCGATGACAATGAAGTCTTAGAAGAATTTTTATATCAGAATCTCATTTTTGTGAAAAGTGAAGATTGGTGGTATTGAATATAAGCGCTCGATACGTGCATATGTATATCCATAAATGTTCCTACTGCTCCTTTTGATTCATTTTGGAGTTCATAGATAATTTTTTTTACAGGCTATCCCAACTACGCAGCCATGTCTATGCAGACAAAGATGGTTAAAAGCGTCGATAATCTGAAACAGATCTTTGCGAATTTGTTAAAATTTGCCGGACCTGCACAATCGACTGAAATTGAACAATTGCAAAACTTCGCCGTTGATAGTGGATTCCAACATAAATTAGATTTGTATGACGTCGCCTATTGGCAGAGGAAGCATTTGCTTGCAAATCATCAGTTAAATGAGGACAAGCTGCGCGAATATTTTCCTTTACCACATGTTTTTGCTGGACTTATAAAACTCAGCGAGAATATGCTTAATATTCGCATAGTAGAAAGACAAAATGTAGAGGTTTGGCAACCGGCTGTAAAATACTATGATGTTTTCGATAATGATGCAGGCGGCGATGTTGCACCAGTCGGTGGTTTCTACATTGATTGCTATTCGAAGGAGAATAAATTTGGTAAAAACAACGGATGGATGGTTAGTATACGCAATCGCAATCCCTCTGCGCAACTGACGCCATTGTGTGCGTTAATCTTCAACTTTACTGAACCATCCCAAGGCAAACCGTACCTACTGAGTTTCGATGACTTAAACATGGTTTTTAAAACCTTTGGTTCAGCTTTGCAACACTTACTTACCAAAGCGCCATACACTGACTTGGCAGGGCTTTCTAACATCGAATGGGATGCATCACAAGTGGCGGGTAATGTGATGAGTAACTTTCTTGATAACACTGCAATTTTAAAACAACTCTCCAAGCATTATTCAAGCGATGAGGTTTTATCTGGCGATACATTGGGAAAAATTAAATTATTAAAAACAAGTTTGGCAGGTTACAACTTGTGCCGAGAACTATACTTGGCAGATCTAGACATTGAACTGCATCAATCTGATGCATTTTGGCTTGATGTGGTTAAAAAGCTGTGGCCTGTCTATCATTGTATGCCGTTGGACAAAAAGGACGCACATCCTTGTTCCATGACAGAGATTTTCTCCGGTGATTGGGCTGCAGCGCAATTTAGTCATCTCTACTCGAAGGTGATAGCGGCAGACATTAGTGCTCAATTTGCAGAGAAAGGTGAAACTGAATTGTCAACGACGGGAAAGCGCTTTAAGGAAACATTCTTAGCGTTGGGTGGTTCCGTGCCCACAGCCGAGGTATTTCGTCGTTTTCGTGGACGAGATCCCTCAGTGGAAGCGCTGCTCAAGTCGCTAAATATATTTAATAAGACACAAACAACAGGCGAATTATAGAAAACACTTAATGCAGTTTGATAAATGTCATTCTTTCATTTTGTTTTGTACTTTTGTTGAATTGGCAATGTCAAAACCAAACAATTTTTTTTATTTATAATTATTTACCTACATATATATGGACATACATACATACACGTGTATGTACGCATATCGACGCTAGTTTATACATACATATATAACGGAATGAATTATAAAATAGGCGA